GGTTCACCAGTTCACTCCTGCGAGTCAGCGGGTGACCCACTGCACGGACGCTCGGACAGGCCGACACCTGGCCACGTTTACACGTCGGCCGGGGTCGAGCCTGTACACACTGACCACTGCGTCTCCTCCAGTCACTGCGTCTGGTCAGGTAGCTGCGTCGGGTCAGGTGTTTGCTGCAGCGTCCAGGTCTGGTCCTGAGTCTGCCCCCTGTTCGTGTCGCCTCCTGTCTCACGAGACTCTCCTCTGGCACCACCGCCTTGGTCACCCCTCCCTGCTTCGTCTTCGAGGCATGGCCTCCCGTGTCCTTGTCTCTGGTCTTCCCCGGTCCCTCCCTCCCCTTCCTCCAGGGCCTGGCCCTACCTGCGTCCCCTGTGTCGAGGGGCGGCAGCGGGCTGCCCCCCACTCCTCCCAGTTTCCTCCGACAGAGGCCCCGCTGCAGACGCTTCACATGGACGTGTGGGGCCCGGCCCGCGTCCGTGGACAGGGTCACGAGCGCTACTTCCTGCTGGTGGTTGACGACTACTCGCGTTACACCACAGTCTTCCCCTTGCGCAGCAAGGGTGATGTCACTGAGGTGTTGACCGACTGGATCCGCGCAGCTCGTCTCCAGCTCAGGCAGAGCTTCGGCTCGGACTTTCCTGTTCTGCGTCTGCACTCTGACAGAGGTGGAGAGTTCTCCTCTGGCCTTCTGCGAGCCTACTGTCGTGCACGAGGCATCCGGCAGACCTTCACGCTTCCGGACTCTCCACAGCAAAATGGGATTGCTGAGCGCCGCATTGGCATGGTCATGGACGTCGCCCGTACGTCCATGATGCATGCGGCTGCCCCCCATTTTCTGTGGCCGTTTGCGGTTCGGTACGCGGCGCATCAGATCAACCTTCACCCCAGGGTCTCCATGCCGGAGACCTCCCCTGCTTTGCTGTGGACGGGGAAGGTTGGCGATGCGTCTGCGTTCCGTGTCTGGGGATCTCGGGCGTTTGTCCGCGACTTGTCTGCGGACAAGCTGTCCCCTCGTGCTGCTCCTTGCGTCTTCCTTGGCTTCCCCCCTGACGCGCCAGGGTGGCAGTTCTACCACCCCACCTCTCGCCGTGTTCTGTCCTCCCAGGACGTCACGTTTGACGAGTCGGTCCCCTACTACCGCCTCTTCCCCTACCGCACTCCGTCCCTCCCCCCGCCACCGCTCTTCCTTGTGCCAGGTCCCCCCCCGGTAGACCCCCTCCCCCCTCAGGGTCCTGCCCCTTCAGGTGTGTCCCAGGTAGACGCAGTCGAGCCTGTCGAGGTTACTGGTGACTCTGGTGCTGCTGAGGGTGCTGAGCCTGGGGGTGCTACTACTGGGGGTGCTGAGCCTGGGGGTGCTGAGCCTGGGGGTGCTACTACTGGGGGTGCTGAGCCTGGGGGTACTGAGCCTGGGGGTGCTGAGCCTGGGGGTGCTGAGCCTGGGGGTGCTGAGCCTGGGGGTGCTGAGCCTTGGGGTGCTACGCCTGGAGGTGCTGAGCCTGGAGGTGCGGAGCCTGAGGGAGCTGAGCCTGCTCGTGTGGCGTCTGACGGCGCTGAGCCTGGAGGTTCTCCGGGTGCTTCGTCTCGGCGGGAGCCACTCTCTCCACAGGAGCTGCGCGAGTGGTTTGCCCGGCGCTGGAGGTGTGCTGCTGGAGCTGGAGGTTCTGCGGCTGCTGAGGGTGCTGGTGCCGCGGGTCCCGGAGGTGCTCGTACTGGGAGTACTGGAGCTGCTGGGCCTGCGGGTGCGACTGGAGCTGGAGCTGCTGCGGGTGTTGGTGCTGAGGCTACTGCTGTCGGTCCTGGAGGCGGTCCTGCTGGGGGTACTACTGGTGCTGCTGGAGGTACTGGAGCTGGAGGTGCTGCTGGCGCTGGTGCTGCCGCTGGGGGTACTGGTGCTGTCCCTGCTGTGTCTGGAGTCGCCGCGCGGCCTCGGCCGTACTTCGTTCCGCTCCTTCAGCAGGTGCTTGGTCTCCCGCCTTCTACTGGTCCTCCGCCTCCCTTAGCGTGTCCACAGCCTGTCCCGTCACAGTTACAGTTACAGGCGGCCTCCCCACTGCCCGCTCCTTCTCCCTACACTGGTCCTACTGGAGGTCTTGCTGAGCGTCGTGAGCCTGCGTCTCGCCCTGCGTCGCCTGTCCGTGCTGCTCGCACTAGTGGTCGTGGTTCGCGTCAGCGTCCTCCTCCTGTCCCTAGCACGCACCGGATGTCTCTGCGTCCGTCCACTGCTCCTTTGCGTGCCCCTTTGCCTTCTCCTCCTGAGTCCTCTCTTCTTGCTCTTCCCGACCCGGAGTCGGACTCTCTTCGTACTGCCAGTCCTTCTGTCACGCGTCTCCTTGCTACTGTCGTCACTGACCCTTCCTTTGAGTCCACTGCTGCGTCTGCCCTAGTTACTGAGCTCGTCGACTTTGCTGCTCGCTGTCGTCTAGACTACGCTGCTAGTCTTGTCGCTGAGTCTGAGTCTGTCTGTCCTCCGTCCGTCGGGGGTGAGTGTGCCCTTGGCACGGACGTCCTTGAGGACAGGCAGGAGGAGTTCCAGTGTTTGGCTGCTGCTTCACCTCATCTCGTGTCCGTACTGCTTACCCCTGAGGGAGACCCGGATGCACTTGACATCCCGACTCCGCGCTCTTACGCGGAGGCGATAGAGGGTCCCTACTCCTCTCAGTGGCAGGCAGCTATGGACACAGAGATGGCTTCCTGGAAGTCCACAGGCACCTACATTGACGAGGTTCCCCCGCCTGGGGCTAACATCGTCAGTGGCATGTGGATTTTCAGGGTGAAGCGGCCGCCGGGTTCTCCGCCTGTCTTCAAGGCGCGTTACGTGGCTCGTGGCTTCAGTCAGCGGCAGGGAGTTGACTACTTTCAGACCTTCTCTCCCACCCCGAAGATGACCACTCTTCGGGTACTGCTGCACATAGCTGCTCACCGCGACTACGAGCTGCACTCTCTTGACTTCAGCACTGCTTTCTTGCAGGGCAGCCTGCACGAGGAGATCTGGCTGCGTCGCCCACCTGGCTTCACTGGGTCTTTTCCTCCTGGCACCCAGTGGAGCCTCCGGCGACCAGTCTACGGTCTCCGCCAGGCACCGCGTGAGTGGCACGACACACTGAGGACTACACTTGCGGCTCTTGGGTTTGCTCCCTCTACTGCCGACCCGTCGCTGTTTCTGCGCACCGACACTTCTTTGCCGCCGTTCTACATCCTCGTGTACGTCGACGACTTGGTCTTTGCCACAGCTGACACTGCTGGACTCGCCCACGTGAAGTCCGAGCTGCAGAAGAGACACACGTGCACAGACCTGGGTGAACTGCGCAGCTACCTTGGCTTGCAGATCACCCGGGACAGAGCACGCCGCACCATTACCCTGACTCAGTCACACATGGTGCAGCAGGTCCTTCAGCGCTTCGGCTTCACGTACTCCTCGCCTCAGGCCACTCCTCTGCCTACTCGCCACTCGCTCTCAGCTCTGCCTTCGGATGAGTCCGTAGAGTCGAGTGGCCCGTACCCAGAGCTTGTTGGCTGCCTCATGTACCTGATGACCTGCACACGACCTGACCTTGCATACCCTCTTAGCATTCTCGCACGCTATGTTGCTCCTGGGAGACACAGACCGGAGCACATGGCTGCAGCGAAGAGGGTGTTGCGCTACTTGTGCAGTACGTCGGGCATGGGGCTTGTGCTTGGAGGGCAGAGTCCAGTGGTCCTCACTGGGCACGCAGACGCTTCTTGGGCTGACGACCAGGCTACGCAGCGGTCGTCACAGGGTTACACCTTCAGTCTTGGTTCCGGCTCTGTTTCGTGGCGGGCTACCCGCTCGTCTTCTGTTCTCGGCTCCAGTTGTGAGGCTGAGATCTACGCCGGGGCCATGGCTGCACAGGAGCTTCGCTGGCTCACCTACCTGCTGACTGACCTTGGAGAGCCGCCTCGTTCTCCTCCAGTACTGTACGTAGACAACAAGGCCATGCTGGCCTTGTGTCGAGAGCAGAGACTGGAGCACAGAACGAAGCACATTGCTCTCCGCTACTTCCTGGCTCGTGAGCTACAGCAGCGTGGTCAGCTGCGGCTTGCGTACGTGGCCTCTCAGGCCAACACTGCTGATATCTTCACCAAGGCACTTGCGCCTTGCGATCATCAGCGCTTCTGTACTCAGCTGGGTCTTGTGCCTACCTTGCCTCACTTGCTTACCCCTTGACCTTGTTTGTACTGTTACATATATATATACACCTGCTCTTGCTTGTCTAGCCTTATATATATATGTAATCATGCATGTGAACTGGCCTTGTGGCCTTGAACTTGTGCTCGGAATGTGTGGTGACTTTGTGATCCACCCTGAGCTTGCTTTGCTTTGCTTGACTGGTCTTGTGACCCCTTGTTCTCCCCCACTTTGCTTATGGGGGTGTGTCAGATTTATATGACATAGCTACTGTAGGCTATAGTGGGGTAGCACATATGGGGTACAGTTTTCTAGGGTTTGCATTTGTACCAAACTTTCCCTTAGTCAATCCATTCTCGTTTCAGTTTTCTCACAACAGCCGTTGTTCGCCCGTTATTACTAACGGGGCTTCGCCGACTTCGCGCGCACTGTTCCACCAAACCTTGCACTGCTTGCCTGGCCGTGTCGGCCTACGCTTCGGGACTAGCCCGAGTCTCGCTTCCAGCGTAGCACTAGCTAGCTCGCACGCACCGCGTTACCGTTTGCATGTTTCGCGTATAAATGTTCGCTTATGCCTTCGCTCACATTTTGCACTCGTTTGACACCTTAGTGCAATTCTCGCTACTTCGATTCATTGCACCCGTAACAGAAATGAAATAAAGTATTCACTACATTACCAGCCTAGTCAAGAGAAAATATTAAGTCCTACATCAGACTATACGAAATAACACAGCAGTAAAACAGATTACCCACGGGAGTATCCTGCTCGAGACATCTGAATCTCGCACTTGCGTGTCAAGTGCAGCTCCTGTACATTCGATAAAATGGAGAATGCGCAAATGCGTGCATCAAATCATCCCACCCTCCCCATGCTGCGGCCGAAGCTGTTCATCCAGGAGGAGGCAGAAGCATTAGTATTTGGATTCACGATGCCTTGTCCAGAGCCCAGTAGTGAGTCAAAGTCGACTGCTATGGCTGGCGCTGCCACCTCACATCCTATTCCCCCTTCCAATCCACTCAACACTCCCGTTTCGGCCTCGGCACTTTCCCCGCCCACTGCACCCTCTTCCAGCTCCTCCTCACCCTCCTCACTCCCATCCCCACAGTCCTCATCACCCCCTTCTTCCTCCTCCACTTCCTCCTCTTCCTCCTGCTCGTTCTGCTCCTCCTCCGCATCCACTCCTGCAGCCCCACTTTTTCCACCCCAGCCTCCCACCATTCCTCCCCGCAATCTCCCCGCAAGGTCCAGTGGCGTGCGCAGCGGCAGCCTCTCCTCCTTCAGCGGGTGGAGGGGGGCGAGCATCTCACCAGCGCCCTCACTCTGCTGACCACCACCACCAGAAGCAACAGCAGCAGCAGAAGGAGTAGCAGCAGAAGAGGGAGCATCCCCCTCCTCCTCCTCCTCCTCCTCCTCATCATCATCGTCATCACCATCGTCATCTTCAGCAGCAGTTGCAGCCGCAGCAGTGGCGGCAGCGGTGGCAGCTGTCAGTTGTGCGTGCGCCTCGGCAACGCTGCGCTGCAGCGCCTGCTGGCAGCGCTGCAGGCGCCGAATGGTGTCCTGCGCCTCGTTCAGCCGCCGCTGCGCACTCGCATTGTCCACGTGCAGCGACGCCGACAGCACCTCCAGCTCCTCCAGCCGCTCCTGCCGCCGCTTGCGCGACCTCTTGGCCGATGCTCGGTTGGACATCATTCTACACGGGGCAACAGGAAAAGAGAGCGACGAGCAGAAGTTGGAGAGATTGGTAACCAGAGGTCAAAAGGAAGGAGTGGAGCAGTTGACTTTTGAGCGTGCAAGAAAGGAGGTAAAAGGGTTATGTGAAGAGCTCGGGGACCCCGTTGTGGTCACCACAGAACTCGGGGACACGAGCGGAGGAGCGGCGTAAGGAGTGACAGTGGGAAGAGTCAGTCCCATTTGCTGCAGAGGCTGCAGGGGCTGCTGGGACGGAAGGGGCTGCCAGGAAGGCAGGAGCGGCTCCGTTGCTACTGCTGGTGCTGCCGTGGTGGGATGGAGGTGCGAGGCGGAGGCGACCCATGGCGTCGTGCCTTGCAATGCGTCTTGTGGCGCTGGTGGTGGCTGCTGCTGCGGCAGGACGGGCGTCATCATTTCCGTGTGGTTCGCTGCCCGCTGCTGCTGCGGCTGCTGCGGCAGCGGCTGCGGCTGGCGCTGTTGCGGATGCTGCTGCGGGTTCTGCTGCTTCTGCTGCCTCTGCACGGCGTTGGAGAGCAGGGCCAGCAGGTGCGACGGCGCGCCTCTGCGCGCATCACTGTCTCTCGCGGAACTGGGCGCCGCCGCCGCGCCTCCTCCGCCTGGCCCGCCGGCAGCGGGCATCTGCGGCCAAGAAGGCTCCCCCTGCTGCTGCGGGGGAGCCGCCGGCGCCTGCGCCTGTGGCTGCGGCGGAAGGTCGGCGGAAGGCTGCTGCCCTCGATTGCCAGTCCCTATGGCATACCCGTCGCCGGTCCAACTGGAGAGGAGAGTGAGCCACGGTCAGTACAGGTGTTGCGAATGGAAGGACGAAACGGACGAAATGAAAGAGGGGGGCAGAAACAAGAGAAGGGACCCATTCTGATAGAAAATACTTCTACATCGGAGGGGGGACAGGGAGTGGACATACATGAAAGTCGTAGGACCCTGAGATTCGCGCTGCCGCTCCCACTGTTGCCGGTAGTCCGCCCATGCGTCCTCCTGCTGCTGCTGCTGCTGCCGTTGCTGCTGTCGACTGAGCAGGAGGTCCGTGACGGTCGCACCAGCCCCCGCCATCGCCGCTGAGCCGCGTCCTTCCGCCGGAAACGCTCCGACACCTCGCGTAGGTTGCGCAGTTCCTCCTTGGAGTCCGCCCCACGAGCCCCACTCAGCCGGCCCCGGTGCTGCGTCAATCGCCGCCGCGACGGCGCCGCCGCTTGGTCCGACTGTTGCAGATATCGCGGGTCTCAGGCACATGATCCGTCAGCACGCTGTGGTTTAGCAGGAAGCGCCGCTGCTTGTTACGGGGCTCGTGACCGGTCGTGATGGGTCGTGATGGGACGAGATGGCTATGGCTCGTGATGGCTCGTGATGGCTCGTGATGAATGCTCCTCCGTTGCTTCAGTACAACAGATAGCTGAAGGCACTAGCTGCCGCGGCGGTACCAGTTGGAGATTCTGGGATCCGCTATTCTAGCGACCTTAGTACAAAAGTATTAGTAGTGCTAGCTAAGCCACCAGTTGTAGAGGACCGAGAGTCGGTTCGTCAGAACTGGTAGTAGCAGTGCAAGATTCACCAGCTAATTCTTGTCAGCTGGAACCTAGTCGTAGTGTTTCCGACAAATTTCCAGCGAGCTTAGGAGTGATGACGTGATTGTTCGCAACGCGTGACGTCCGCAATGAGGTTTAGGCTTACAATCTATAGCCCGCGGCGCGGGAAAGATAGTGTTATAGTGGCGTCGTGCTGGAGCCGACTTGCAATCGTATGAAGCGTTTGGTGTGCTGCTGCTGCTGACAATGCTCGAAAACCGGATTTCACTGAATGACGACTGGTCAGCCTGCCTATTTGCTCTTGAACTTGATTCTCGCCACACGCTCTTCCTCCGCCCGCTTGCCTGAGTCACAGGTGGGGGGGGCGGGGGAAGTGGGGAGGAGGCGTTGGCTTGGCAGGGCAAGAAGAAGATCAACAAGACGGCCAATCGAGATTCACAATCGCTCGTCTGCAGAGCGTGACGCACGCACCATCTTTCTGGCGTCGCACAAAGATCCCCCCAAACTTCCCCTCCCCCCCTTCTCCCCGCTGCACCATCACAACACACCATCGTTGTAACTACAGTAGATGTAGACCCCACCCACCCCCACTCAACTCCCTCCATTTCTGTGTCATGTTTACAGTATCGTGAACGAGGACTGTTTCGCAAAAGTCATGTGATGATGATCATTCCGGCGTTGCATGTCACCTCCCCTTCCCATCAGCCTTTTGGGACTGCCTGCCAGTACAGGAGGCGATTTTCCTCCCTGCCCAATCTTTGAAGGCGGGTTGGGCAGCATTCAGTTAGAAGACGCAGCAATCGTACAGCAGCCTGGGGGAAGCGAATGGGAAGAGGAGACAGGAAAGAAGGAAGCCGCCATCGCCCGACTGAGTCATTTCGTGGAAGAGGCACAGGGTTGGGTCTGGAAGAGTCAAGCGAGAAAGCAGGTGGAGCAAGCGTGGGCAGAACGAAAGGGGGAAAACAAAATCGAACCGCCACGATTGCGAAACACATTTCTGATTGACCAAACTTGGGATTCCGCGCCGCGGCCGAGCATGTGCTGTAATATTGCACGGTACAGATCAGAAGCTTTGAAGACATACCATCATCGAGCCGTCCAACTTCACAAGTCAGGTCAGGTTTGGCGGTCTAAATTTGAAGTGTCACAGATCCAACGTGGAATTATCATGAGGGAAACATCCTGGGCAAGTGCCAAAGAGCCAAAGGTATGGACAAATTAGCACAGCAGTGCGAATCCAGCACGTGACAGATGAACCGGGGCCTCAAAAGCGTTGAGGAAGGATGTGTATTCAACGGCCAAGATGTTTTACGTACTTCGATGTGCGATAGCAGCGTGGACAGCGCGGATCAGCACTCGTGCCCAACTGCCGAATACACACGCTGCTGAGGTGGAACGTCACTTTGCCCTGCCTGTGATATATCTGTTGGAGAGAGGCGTGGAGTGGAAGGCAACAGGTCGGCTCCTCGGTTGTAACAGCCCTGATATTGCAGATGTTCACAAATAATAATGACAATCACTGGGGGAGTTCATGCTCTGTTATATATTTATTGCATTTCCAACCAAGTACACATTGTTGTCGTCCCCAGTGCACCACTCCTTGACATTGCCGCCATCACTGATTTTATGGGTCGACCATTCACACCCTGCAGGTTCGTTGCCTTGCCGGTTACTGCACCCCTGCCATGTCCGTTCTTTGGCCAGCCTTTCATCGACATTGTCATCACCATCATCTGCAAGGACGAGTTTGCCGCAGCATGCAGAACAGCGAGCTTCATTCACTACTAATATACGGTTTTTTTTTTTTTTACTAATCAGCATTACCACCCTGACTAATGTGGGCATACTTCACTGCCTCCCAACGATTACTTCCAGATCTATGTACAGCCCTCTATAAAGTCCAAGCCAGTAAACATCACTCCCACGTTGTCACCACACCAGCCCTGTCACCAGTGACCAAAGGCAACCCACAGCTTCCCCACACACTCGTCAAGATAGGCGCTACAGCAGCAGCAGCAGCTCCCGAGGCCAAGCCAGCAGAGCCACCTGAACCAGCACCTGAACCGGCACCTGAAGCCAAGGCAGGCGCGGGCCTCAGGTGGCGCTCCACAGCAGCAGTGCGTCTGCTCCACACGACCACGGACCCATCCATGCTGCCAGCTGCCACGTACTCGTCTGTCGGGCTCACACACGCACGGCTCCAGTTGGACGCCACTCTGAACCCATGCGGGCCCCTCAGCACCTGCTTCGCTGCCAGCGAGCGCAGGTCAAACACCCGGAGAATGTTGTCCCGCCCGCACGTCACCAAATCGTAGATACTCGCCGCAGATGCGCCGCCGCCGCTGTGACGCGCCGAGACGGCCGAGGAGGAGAGCGCGAGGGAGGTGATGGCTGCGGCGTGAGCAGCTACTTCGTTGGCTAGCTTCCCCGACCGCACGTCCCACATGCGCAGGTGTCCGTCTGCGTGGCCTGAACAGATTGCGGAAAGTCCCCCCGGGGCGAAGCGCAGAGCATTGCAGTTGCTGTGGCAGAGCAAGGTGACTGTGGCAAAGCCGCGCTCCAGGTCCCATAGCTTCATGCTGCGATCGTACGCCGCACTGATGGCCCGCGCACTGCTGCTGGTGCTGCTGCTGCTGGCGATACCACCTCCCCCAGTTGTGCCAGTGCCCCCCCCTCTGTGTTCGTCCACGTCCACTGCTACGACCTTGTCCGTGTGCCCCGTGAGCGTGTGCCTCAGCTGCCACGTGGCAGCATCCCATAGGTACAGCTTGTGGTCCGAGCACGCCGCCAGCAGCGCAGAAAAACCGTGGGGGAGCGACGGGGCCGAATCCGCACCATTAGAACCACCACCGCTGCTGCGCCTCCTGCCGTCCGCTCCCCCTCCCCCTCCCCCACCACCCTCACTCCCCAGCACAGCAAGGTCCATAACAGCCCCCAGGCACCCTCTAGCCGTATCCAGCAGCGCACTCCTGTGCGCATCCCACACCTTGACTGCCCCATCCTCCCCGCCTGTGATCACGCGGTGGCCCGCAGCGCTCATGGCGAGCGAGCAGCACGCGGAGTCGTGGCAGCGGTGCGAGCGCAGGGCGCGCGAGGGGGCGTGCGTGGAGACGAGGCGGGGGGAGACGCCGGGCTCGGCGAGCTGGAGGATGCCGAGGGGTTGTTGTGAGGCCAGGTGCTGCAGCGCGCGGGAGGAGGCGCGCGTGCGCTCCACCAGATCCTCGTACAGCTGATTGGCCTGCGAGAGAGGGGGAGAGTGCAGGGAAGGAAGGAGTGAGCGCGATAGGTTGCTTGCTGGTTGCGCTCCACCAGATCCTCGTACAGCTGATTGGCCTGCGAGAGAGGGGGAGAGTGCAGGGAAGGAAGGAGTGAGCGCGATAGGTTGCTTGCTGGTTGCGCTCCACCAGATCCTCGTACAGCTGATTGGCCTGCAGGAGAGGGGGAGGCCGTGGCATGTGTGGCATGTGCATTGGTTAGGTGGGTAGGTTTTCTAGGCGCCTCAAGAAACGGGAGGAGGCGCACGTGCGCTCCACCAGATCCTCGTACAGCTGATTGGCCTGGAAGAGAATTCAGGTGCACGCGCGTGAGCGTTGCGGGTGGAGTGCAAAGGGGTTTGGTGCGCACGTTGTACTCCCCCTCCCTGATTCCCATCTCCATCCCATCCCATCCCATCCCATCCCATCCCATCCCATCCCATCCCATCCCATCCCATCCCATCCCATCCCATCCCATCCCATCCCATCCCATCACAATACCCGTACCCCTACCCACCTCCGCCATGCCTGATTACGCACCTCATTGAGTGTGTCAGCCTGGTGCAGTTTGAGGTGCGTCCCACTGTCACCCACCCCCTCCCCCTCTCCGCCCCTCCCCCCTCCCCCCCTTCCCCTCCTGTTCCGCACCTCATTGAGTGTGTCAGCCTGGTGCAGTTTGAGGTGCGTCCATCGGTCCACCAGCATTCGTCCGTTCCACGTTCGCTGCCTTCTCCTCCGCTGCCCGCACCTCCTTCCGGGCTCGCTGCCTGATGCTATGCCATCCCCTCTCCCTGTTTCCCTCCCCCTTCCCCTGTTACCCCTGTTCCCTGTCACGCCGTCCCACTGTCAGCCCCCCCACTCCCCCCTTCCCCTCCTGTTCCGCACCTCATTGAGTGTGTCAGCCTGGTGCAGTTTGAGGTGCGTCCATCGGTCCACCAGCATGCGGTTCTCGCGCTCCACGCCCGCCGCCCTCTCCTCTGCTGCCCGCACCTCCGCCCGGCACGCCGCTGCCTCTGCTGCTGCCAACTCGATGGCTGTCTCCTTGTGCTGCACCGCTCCCCGCAGCTCCTGCACTGCCTCGCTGTGAGGGTGAGGCAGAGCAAACCACACAGGAGCAGAGAGGCACGGAAGAAGGGCGGGTCAGGGAGGAGACACACAACCCGAGAAGGACGGCACGCCGCTGCCTCTGCTGCCGCCAGCTCTATGGCCGTCTCCTTGTGCTGCACTGCACCCCGCAGCTCTTGCACTGCCTCCTGTGGGAACCATGCCCATTCCCATGCCATGCCACACCGGTTTCATGTCAAAGCACACAGCGGAACGAGAGTAGGGAAGGTCAGGAGTCACAAGCAAGTGCGCCGCTGCCTCTGCTACCGCCAGCTCGATGGCCGATCCCTGAGAAATGAATGACAGAACACCGCCTCCTTGTGCTGCACTGCACCGCGCCCTGCAGCTCCTGCACTGCCTCTCTGAGGGAAGGGAGCCATACCCATGCCGTGTCGTGTTGCGTTGTGTTGTGTTGTGTTGTTTTGGGTATGTGGTGTGTTGTGTTGTGTTGTGTTGAGTTGTGTTGTGTTGAGTTGTGTTGTGTTGAGTTGTGTTGTGTTGTGTTGAGTTGTGTTGTGTTGTGTTGAGTTGTGTTGAGTTGTGTTGTGTTGTGTTGAGTTGTGTTGTGTTGAGTTGTGTTGTGTTGTGTTGTGTTGTGTTGTGTTGAGTTGTGTTGTGTTGTGTTGTGTTGTGTTGTGTTGTGTTGAGTTGTGTTGTGTTGTGTTGAGTTGTGTTGAGTTGTGTTGTGTTGTGTTGTGTTGTGTTGTGTTGTGTTGTGTTGTGTTGTGTTGTGTTGTGTTGTGTTGTGTTGAGTTGTGTTGTGTTGTGTTGTGTTGAGTTGTGTTGTGTTGAGTTGTGTTGAGTTGTGTTGTGTTGTGTTGTGTTGTGTTGTGTTGTGTTGTGTTGTGTTGAGTTGTGTTGAGTTGTGTTGTGTTGTGTTGTGTTGAGTTGTGTTGTGTTGAGTTGTGTTGTGTTGTGTTGTGTTGTGTTGTGTTGTGTTGTGTTGAGTTGTGTTGTGTTGAGTTGTGTTGAGTTGTGTTGTGTTGTGTTGTGTTGTGTTGTGTTGTGTTGTGTTGTGTTGTGTTGTGTTGTGTTGTGTTGGGTCTGTGGTGTTGCGCTGGGTCGTGCCGTGCGACACCTTTGCATGCCATGCCAAGCCGCACAGGAGTGCGAGAGTAGGGCGGATAAGGGAGGAGATTCAGGATCAAGCAGCACGAGACAGTAAAAAACTTGACAGCATGTACCATAGCCACTGCCTGCTCTGCTGCCCGCTCTGCCAGCACTGCCACGGACACAAGCAACCTTCAGTCGCACGTTACAACCCATTCCGCACCCTTTCCCCATTCCCCATCCCCCATCCCCACCCTTCAACCCCATGCCCATCCACTTCCACCTTTCTCCAACCGCCATCCTCCCCATTCCCCATCCCTTTCCCATCCATTCCCCATCCCTTCCGCATCCCTTCCCCTCCCTCTCCCCCTCCCCTCCAACGCAAAGGGCAGCGCGCAGCTCCTCCTCCAGAGAGCGGATGCGGTCCGCCTTGATGCCCGCGTCGTCCCTCAGCGCCGCCCTACCACTGCTGTCACCCGCCGCCACCCGTTGCCACGTTTGGCCACACGTTACTAGCCATCACTCATTCCCCCCCCCCCCCGTCTCCCATCCCTCATTCCCATCGCCCTTCCCCCATCACCCATTCCTCACCCCCCACTCCCGCTTCTCACTCCCATTCCCCACCCCCCTCTCTCTCTCCCAGCACCCCCCAACGCACAGGGCAGCGCGCAGCTCCTCCTCCAGAGTGCGAATCCGCTCTGCCTTGATGCCCGCGTCGTCCCTCAGCGCCGCCACCGCCGCCACGGCTGTCACGAGCTCGCCACTGGCCTGCGCTGCCGTGCGCCCACTTGCTGCCACGTCCGCTGACAGCTGCTCCACTCGCTGCTGCAGCGAGGTTACTTGCTCCGACTGTTGGGAGAAGTGGGTGGGGCGGAAGGGGGGGAAGAGGGGGTTTGGAGGGAGGGGATGCACAGGGAGGAGAGAGGCCACTCGCTGCCACGTCCGCTGATAGCTGCTCCACTCGCTGCTGTAATGAGGTCACTTGCTCCGACTGTTGGAGGACGGGAGGGGGAGAGGGCTTGGGAGGGAGGGAGAGGAGGAGGAGAGGAGGGGGAGGGGAAGCACAGGGACGAGGGAGCATGTGGCGGAAGGGAGAAGGGAGGCATGGGAGAGAAGGGAAGCAGGGGAGAGGGAATGAGAGGCGAGTTAGGAGATAACGAGAATACTGGGATAGAGTTGGTAAGAAGGAGTAGATGGATTGACGGCACAGGAGAACGTGGGGGGAGGTGGAACTGGAAATTGCGCTTGTAACGCGTACAGTGGCGGTCGATTCGTTAAGCGCCATGAGCTGCGCCAGCAGCGCCGCCTTCTCCTCCTGCAGGCTCGCCGCGCGCACCCGCTCCGCCTCGCTCTGGCGCTGCCACGTGGCGGCCTGTGCCTGCAGGCTCGTGTGGCTGTGAACGAGGTCGGCGAAGGGGTGCGTTTGGCGAAGGTCGCGGGAGTAGAGCTGCTCGCACACGCTTGCGATGGCTGACGCGCGGCGAAGCTGAAGAAACTGACGAAGCTGATGATCATGTTCATGGTGCTGGTGCTGGTGCTGGTGCTGATGCTGATGCTGACGCTCAGAAGTGATTGTAAAAGCAGCGTTATCCTGAGAAGGAGTTGACATGGCGACAACGTGAGAGATAGCTATTACGTCCCGCTACCCACTGGTCAAAACGGCGGTGTGATAGAGGCGCAGCGGATGCCCTTTTACCCCCTTCGTTCAAGCCCGCAGGCGTTACAGTAGGTGAGTAGGACGGCCAGGAGATGTAAGCACGGTACAGCACGTTCAAGTGCGGTACAGAACGGTACAGTACGCCACAGTACGGCACCGGAAGACGAGGCGAACTTCTCCAGCGCACACAGAGTGGCTAGAGAACATCTCCCTCCGGTCGCGGTACTCGCTCGCTGACGTTCACAACAAGTCCGCTCGGCCAGCACGGAACGGGACGGAGCACACCTGAAGCACCGCGTGCCACGCGCCGCAATAAAAAAGCCCCGGAGATAGGCCTGAAGCACCGCGTGTCTCCAGCTTACTAGCACCTAGTAGGGGGGGAGCACGCGAGATAGGCCACAGATACCAGTAGGTGCACCAGCGTCGAAGAAGCGTAAAAAGGCACTTCGCACACAATTCGGAGTAGGCGAGTGAGTGGCGCCACCGCGACCAGCGAAAGAATGCCTGGTTCGCTAAGAGAAAATTCGAGCGAACCAAAGTCGATGGCATTTTGTTTGAATAACTGTAGTGTAAATCACTCTGCTGCAGATGTGCAAGTTACATCTGCCTTTCTTCTTTAAAACCGAAATGCAAAATAGTGAACCCAAACCCAACTTGAAAGAGCGGTGGAGCGATTTTGCCGGGCGAAACATATTTTGGATCGGACTGACAAGTTTGTACTGTTTCAAATGGAGCGGACGTGCAAATCTAACACCTTTGAGAACTCAGATCAGATGATAATTTATGATATAATAAACAATTGAGTGCACAAGAAATATCACATCAGAACCAGCTCCAACCATCGCTGCCGCTCCTACCATTGGTCAGCAGCAACAATTGCACAACACGCGACCAACAAGAGGAGCTCTTAGACCCACCTAAACACACATCCAAATCCGCTTGCCCCACAAGCTGCTGCTGCTGCTGCTGCCCTGCTGCTACCCCGCCATCCACATGCACATCGCATCTCCCAGCTATCAATAGAGACGCCACTGTTTGGGCAGCCGCAGCAGCACCAGCACTAGCAGCAACAGCAGGCTCTGTTGTAGTGGGGACGGCTGGATTGGAAGGGGTGGGTGGGGCCATGCAGGTCCATCCCCTGGGCAGAGAGGTCACCAGCTGAGATTCGGATGGGACGGAGACAGGGAGAGAGAGAGACACATGGACAGGCAAAGAAGGAACTTAACCAACAAGAAGGTGGAATGATTACGGCGGATGGTAATGCTTCACATGTGGAGTGCCAGCCCGAGAGGTGTTTTGAGTCGACTCAAAACACACGTGGAGTGCTTCACACGTGGAGTGCTTCACACGTGGAGTGCTTCACACGTGGAGTGCCAGGCCCAGAGGGGAAAAAACATGTAGGAAGGGCCGGGGGGGCGAGGGGGCCAGGAGGCCCAGTCGTGGGGGGCGGTGAGAACGTTGGTGCGGGAGGAAGGCCGGGGAGAACATGGTTGGGTGCAGTGCAAGGTGAGTGGTGCCTCCCCTCACCTGGCATTCCCCCGGTATGGACATCCACAGAGTCTTCAGATTCGGCACTCTCAGCCGCTGCTGCTGCACCTGCACCAGCCACCCTGCCGCCACACCCTCTCCCCCGGGACCCTCATCCTTCCCCCATTCCGACGCCTTCCCCACGTGCACGCTGGCAATGGGGCGGGGCACGTATGGCTCTGGTCCGCCTGCGTCGTCCCATGCCCAGAGGGAGGAGTGGAGGGAGGAGGCGGGGAAGAGGGAGAAGGAGCGCATGGCATAGAGCTCCTTGGGCGGTAGCCCTTCCAGTAGCGCCTGCTCGCTCAGTGCCCGCGCCGCTGCTGCTGCATGGGCTGGTGGTTGTGAAGAGATGGGTTGAGGTGTATGGGTTTGTTGAGGTGATGAGGTGGGGTGTGGTTGTGCTGTGGAAATAGCCTGTGCTGTGGAAGTTGGGTCTGCAGCGGCTGGTGGCTGTACTACTTCCGCTGCTCGTCTGGCTGGTGCCCTGAATTCCAATGTATCTCTCTCGATCACCTCCTGCTGCTCCTGTTCTTGCTGCTGTGCTGCCTGCTTGTCTATCACTACCTCACCTGCAGTGTTCTCTTTCGCAGGCTGCCAAGGCGACTCGTACTCCTCGCTCCACTCATCCTCGCCCCTGCCCCATCCCTCGTCTGCTTCCCCTCCAGCCTTGCGCATACCCGCTGCATCACCCACCGCTGCTGCTTCACCTCCAGGACCGGGATCAGCACCACCCTCAGCAGCAGCAGCACCACCACCAGCAGCAGCGCCAGCAGCGGCATCAGCAGCGGCAGCAGCATCGGCGGCATGGGCAGGAGGATCCGTCTCGGGGAGGGAGAGGAGGGCGGAGTAGGATGAGGCGAGCTGCAGCGACACGTGGTCTCCCAGGGCGTGGTGGCGAGCAGTGTTGGCGAGATGGCACGTGTGCAGAGAGGGCCAGCGCAGCACAAAGCGCAGCAGCTGTGCCAACAACCACCGGTGCTGTGTGGGTGATGGGTAGAGGGGGAGCGGAGGGGGAGAGGGGGAGGGAGACGGGAAAGGGGAGGGAGACGGGGAGGGGGAGGGGGAGGGCGGAGGGCAGAGGGTGGAGGGCGGAGCAGGAGAGTTAGACTTTGCGAGAGAGAGGAGGGCGGAGTAGGAGGAGGCGAGCTGCAGCGACACGTGGTCCCCCAGGGCGTGGTGGCGTGCGGTGTTGGCGAGATGGCACGCATGCAGGGACGGCCAGCGCAGCACGAAGCGCAGCAGCTGTGCTAGCAGCCACCGGTGCTGTAGGTGATGGTGAGAGAGGGACGGCGGAGGGCGGAGGGCGCAGAGAGAGGTGAAGGAGAGAAAAAGTGAGGGAAGAAGACAAAGTGAAAGGGGTGACGATTCGCGAAACGGGACTTGGAGTAATTTGTTTCAGAGTTTGACTGGTTGGGGAACAAGTGCGAGGGATAAGTGGGGGTTGTAGGGAGAGGGTGTAGTAGTGAGAGTTACAGAGAGAGTAAGGGAGCACATGGCTGACTCGCAGCAGTGATCAACCCCCACTTAGACGATTTTTAGGCGACTCATGGATGGGCGGCTGGTGATCAATCCCCCTGGGAAGAGGGAACGAAGACAGAGCACCTTAAAGGAGACGGATTCTGAGGCGCCTCCAAAACCCCCCCTCAACATATGTGGAGAGGGAAGGCAGAGTCTGCTTTTGAGGCGCCTCAAACTTGAAGGAGAAAGCAAAAATTGGTAGTGCTCTGAAAGAGATGGAGGGCGGAGTACCTTGAGGGAGGTGGTTTTTTAGAATTCTCATAAACCAGCAAGAGGGAGGGCGGAGTACCTTGAGGGAGGCATCTGCATTCGACACATTCGCCACGCCTTGTGCCCAGGGCCGGTCCCAGCCCCTGATGGTGGCAGTGGAAGGAGACGCGAATGGAGATGGAGTTGGGGAAGGGGATGGAGAAGGAGAAAGAGGTCTCAGTTAGGGGGACAGTGTGGGCGACGAGGAGTGGGAGAAGAATAGGCGGATTGGTGGAGTAAATAGGTGGGAAAGACGATGTGAACAGGGAAGGGGAGGTGGGGGAGGAGGAAGAAGAATAACAAAGAAAGGACGGAGGAGAATGAGGAAGAGGAGGAGGAGGAGGAAGGGGGGGGGGAGGAGGAGGAAGGGGGGGAGGAGGAGGAGGAGGAGGAGGAGGAGGAGGAGGAGGAGGAGGAGGAGGAGGAGGAGGAGGAGGAGGACGAGGAGGGAGGGGGGGGGGGGAGCTGACTTGGCCTTGGCGATGCGCTGAGCAAGGTGTGCGAGCACCAGCTTGCCTCTGCTCGTGCCAACAAGCCGCGGCAGGTAACCCCACATCCAAGTTCCATTCCGCGCCCCTCCCACTCCTCCCGGCACCCGTTCTCGTGATCGTGCTGCCTCCCCTCCCCCCGCCTGTGCTGCGTACCCAGCAGCAGCGTCTCCGGCTGCAGCGGTTATGAATTCAGGTGGTAACCACACGATGGGGTCGTCTGATAGTAGCTGCTGCTCCAGGGTGGCAGCGGCCGATGGACGGTTGGGATTGGTGGAGGCAGCGAGATGGAGGGCGGACGATCGACAGGCAGCGGACGTGAGTGGGAAGAAGAGGCGGTGGAAGGACGCCTGAAGCATTTTTGGGCAGTGGGTTTGGAGAAAGGGAGAGGGGGGAGTGAACGGAGAAAGGAGTTGGTGCAAGGCCGCAAGAGAAATAATAATAAAAAAAGACCGATACCTGCCACGTTGCCTGGTATTTCTCTCTTACCCAACCCCCTCCTACTCTTCCCCATCCTACCATTCCCCCATCCTACCCTTCCCCCTCACCTTCCCAGCACTTTCACAGAGCTCGGCAGCGTTTGACTCACTCCCCTGCTGCGCCCCCTGCTCCCCCAGCAGCGCACTGTCCTGGTCCATGGGCACCACTATTCGCCCTGTGGCAAGCCCCACTGCCAGCGCCGCTGCCACTGCCACCACCCCTGATGCCACCTCCTCCTCCTCCACTCGTCCTCCTGCCCCCGCTGCTACAATGCTCTCCGTCCCCGCTGCTGCTGCTTCCGCTGCTGCAGCAAATTCTTCTCCTTGCGTGTTGAATTGAGGCCAGGGCAGGAGTAGGAAGCGAGGGGCGCGAGGAGGGGGAGTAGAAGCGGGAGGGGTGGGCGGAGGGGAGCAGGAGGAGGGCGGGAATTGGTGTAACCAGATGTCCCGCTGAGCTGTGCGAGTGAAGGGCAGGAGCGAGGTGTCTGGACCTCGCACCTGAATCACGAATCAGGGGGTTAGGCCACGGGGCGAGAAAGGGGGGAACGATAAGGAGGAAAGAGGTGACTTTTGAGTCGACTCAAAATTCACCCCGTTACAATGGCAGACGGCACATGAGCTATGCGGGTGTAAGGGCACGAGAGAGGTGTCTGGATGGACCTCGCACCTGAGTCAGGAGGTGGGGGAACGGGGAGAGAAGGGGAGTAGAGATACGGGGGAAAGAGAGGGGCGGACGGGGAGGGAGGAAGATGGGTGAGAGGCGGGGAGAGACGGATAGGTAGAGTGAAGGGATAGAGCAACGGAAGGGGAACAGAGCAGGCAGGGAGGCAGGCATGTTGGTAATCGACATGGCAGGAAAAGCATGTGGGCAGAGTAAGTGGCACTGTGGCAGAGCAGCATAGCCCGATGGGCAATGGGCAGGGAAGAGCGATGGAGGCACCGTGGCGGAAAGGTGACTTTTTAAGTCGTCTCAAAAGTCACCTCTGTGGCAGGCAGAGCAGCATAGCCTGATGGGCAATGGGCAGGGAAGAGCGATGGAGGCACCGTGGCAGAGAGGTGTGTGCGTGGTTGTGTGTGCGATTTTTGAGTCGACTAAAAAATCGCCTCATCACACACGAGGTGTGTGCGTGGTTGTGTGCGCTGTGATGTGCATGCAAGGTGACGAGATGAGGGACCATCCTGAAAGGAACACTGGACTTCCGGAGGTGGGGAGGGGAGAGGAGAAGAGCCAAGGGAAGGGAAGGTCGTGTGCAGACAGGCAGCGCCCAAGATTGAGAAGGCTGATGGTAACCATGCCTCCCTTGTTTTGAGTCGACTCAAAACAAGGCAGCACCCAAGATCGAGAAGGCTGATGGTACCCGTGCCTCCCCCTCCCATGTCTCCCATGCATGCCTCCCCCCATGCTTTCCAACCATGCATCTCCATGTGCGCGTGTCAGGCTGCGACGCACACGCACTCACCCAGGGCGGGCGGGGCATGGTTTTCACATGCGCGCCAATGGACCCACCACTCATCGCCACCTCCTGCCGCCCTCCTCGCTTCCTCACTCTCCTCCTCCTCCTTTGCACGCCACCCGATCCACCGCCTCCCCTCTCCTCTCCTCCCGTTTCGCCTCCCCCTTCGCTTCCCCCACCTGCTCCCTCCATCCCCTCTGGATCAAACAACCTTCTTCCCCTCGTCTGCCCCTGCACTCCCCCTCCTCCTTCGCCCCCCTCCGCACCCGTCTCTCCTGCACTCGCCCCCCCCGGCTCTCGATACCATTCCCCCCCCAACCAGGTCGGCCCCTTCCCCCCACTGCTGGACCCCTCCCCCTCAATTCCCCCCGGGTGCTGCATCTCCAGGCGCAGGCGCGCGGACGTGCGGGCGAAGCAGTCCTCTAAGTGAGGCGGGGAGGGCGGGGGGAGGGATGGGGGGAAGGGGAAGGCGGAGGCGAACGCGGATGCTGCGGCAGTGGTGGTTGGCGGGGGAGGGGAGGAGAGGAGGGCGAAGGAGGTTGGGAGGCAGAGGAATGGAGGAGCGGAGGAGGGGGACGGGGAGAGGTGGTATTGCTCCGACCATATCTGAGGAAGGAAAGGGGAGGGGAGGGGAGGGGAGGGGAGGGGAGGGGAGGGGAGGGGAGCGGAGGGGAGTCGAGGAGAGGCGAGGAGAAGAAAGGAGAGGTGAGAAGAGAAATAGATAAGTTGATAAGATAAGGACGACAGAATGGTGTTGGTTGGGAGACTGCAGGATGGGGACAGGAAAGGGGAGCGGGCGAAGGGAGAACAGGAGGCCGATAGCAGGAGGGATGCCTTAGCTCGGTTTTCGGATTTCTGGCGGTTACTCTCTTTCGCAACGCTTGCTTCTCGCGACTTTTGCTTCGATGCTCGTGACTGGAAGGTGCGAGTCGCAAGCGCGACTACATCACGACGTTCCGTCCAGGCTTACACCGAGAAGCGCCTCTTGAATTGCGTATCTCGCTTGCAGCTCCCTCCTGCTCCTCCCGCTCCGCTCACCACACCGGATCTCCTCTCCTCCCTTTCCGTTCTCCCCCTCGTCATAAGCGCATTCGTTCTCATCGCCTCCGCGGCTCCTCCGATTTGCGTGAGCGTCACGCGCGTCTTCTGTCTGCAGCCCGGTTTCAGCTATTGTTGTAGTTGCTGTTGCTATCGCTAAAAGCACCGCTAGGAGGCATATTTTCAACGGAAATTGACGGCTACGACGCGCATAGCGGGAGGGAGCGGCAACCTGAGTTCGCCGCGCCATCGTCGGCGGCACTGAATGGTTCAAGTGCCTTCACTTGCCCGCATCGTTTGCAGTGGAGCTGCTAACTTCCGATAAAGAAGATCAAGAATTCGGCGATTATTATGGGTCGCAATGCATGAGTTTCCGAACGCGACAGCGCGTCGTTCTCTGAATGCTTGCTCGAAGTCTCTGCGTGGTTGGCTTGGCCAGGAGTAACGCCGAAGTTGGTGAGGTGACGCGAGAGTACAATGGTGCGCGAGTGCAAGTGTGGGCCATCCCCTCTCATTTGTACAGTTCGGATGTGCCAAGGGGATGCTGCTTACCAGCAGTGTACTTGCAAATCCAAACGGTGTAAGCTCCACGTGGCTTACATGAGACCAGCGAGCAGTTCAGAACATAGAATGATTTTATTGAACAAATTGTTTTCGGTCAATCAAGCACGACTATACTTGAACAGGATCTGTTCTATAGTTCGTACAAATCGTTGTACCTCTGTACAACGTCCCTAGTCATTCACTCGGATGATGAGCTGAGACTTCAGGTCCAGAGCGCGAATGCTGGCTGGAATAGAACGCCGCAAGGCGTTCCGCCAGCCTCGATGAACGTCCCACCCGCCCATTCCGCGGGAGGTCGACGGACCGGAAGTGCTCTGACGAGCGACTTTGTTGCTGAACTCGAACCTATACGGACTGTGTTTCACCTTGGGTCTCGCTTTTGGTGTCACATTTCGGTGTCAGATTGAACTAAACTCACGAAACTTCGGTGGAATAGCATGTGATGCGGTTTCGTTCCCGTGAACACGGCAAATGGAGCCACAATGCATGATGGGTCAGTCAATTGGTGGTTCAGCATGATGGACTTGCACGATTGCCAGCGTTCGACAGAGATCCACATGCACCCCAAAGCTGCGAGAAGGGATGGCTCGCATCACACCCGCATCGAACCACATCCCAGGGCGTGCAGTTGCCTGGAATGACGCTGGCGGAGCAAGCATGTGATGCATGACGCGACGGTCTAGGAGGAGGCGGCCTTGCATATCGCTGCTTCGTGAGGAAGGCAACGGTTTTCCAATGCGGCATCGTTGATCACCTCACTTCGTCGATTTGAAAACAGACACAGTTCGTTACACCTTTCGTTACACCTTGATCGATTCTCAGTCCTCGTTCGTGCAAAGAGCCACGATGGTTTCACCAGGATCGATCTACGGAACGCGCTCCGCCGCTCACGCGCACTCCCACTCCCATCCGCTCTCCCAGTCCTCGCACATCCACCCGCACGCGCACGCGCACGCGCCTCCTCCGCACTCTCACACTCACGCTCCCTTGCGCCGATCGCGGCAGGCCACGGAGGAGCGTCTCTTCGGGCCGTTAAAAGCGGAGCACGTGTTGTGGATCATCGGAATTCTACTATTCTATTTCTACGTGTGGGGCCGGCTCTTCGGCAGCCACCCTCGCGCTCATTCGCACCCCGCCGCGCAGTCGCAGACAGCGGCGCAGGCAAACGCGCACTCTCCGCCCTTGCCCGGCGGGCCGCCGTCCGTCGCGCATAATAAAGCCGCCGCGTCTCACGTTAGGCACGGCGCGCACAGCCACTCCGCGGGATCCTCCAAGGCTGCGGCCGGCGGACATGACGGGGACGCGGAGGCGAGAGGGCGATCTGCGCTGGATGCGGGGACGCTGCCACGTGGGAAGAGCAGATTGGGGTGAGTCTGTCACCCGGTGCGGATAGTTGATCGTATCGGTTGCCTTGATTGTTTAGATCCTCTGTCTGTCCACGTATCTCTCTCTTTCTCTCTCCCTTTCCCTCACTCTGTCGCACTCTCATCTCTCTCTCTTTCTCTCTCGCGCCATCACTCGTTCTCACTCGCTCCCCTCTTCGTATGTAACCCCGCACCCCCCTCCTCTTACTGCCCCTCCCCTTCCTTCGTGTGCGGGCAACAGAGCACCACCCTTGTTGCGCCACGCTGTGGGCACTCCGCCTGGGGGGGGAGGCGCGCAGGGCGCAGCCGTGGCGGGTGGGGGGAAGGCGGAGGGTGCCAGGCGCGCCAGGATTGGCGGAGGAGCCGCGGATGGGCGCAAGCAGGCGGCTGGGGGGGCAGCTGATCATGGGCATACTGCTGCTGCTGCGGCTGCGGCTGCTGCAGGGGGGGAACGGGGAGAGGCTGCGAAGCTGGGTGTGGTGAATGGTGGCGAAGGTGGCGGAGGTGGCGGGGTTGGTGTTGGTGTGGGAGAGGCATGGAGGCCCCGTGTGGGGGAGCGTGTGGGAGCAGGGGAGGAGGGGAAGGCGGAGGAGGGGAAGGCGGAGGAGCATGCGGGGTACGAGGTGCCGTACATAGTGCAGCGGTTTAGAGCAGGAGTGATAGACTGGCATGACTACGTGCCGCAGCCCGTGCTGCCCTTGCTCTCCGAGTACGTACGCTGCTGCTGCTGCCGCCGCTGCTGCTGCTGCCGCTGCTGCTGCCGCCGCCGCCGCCGCCGCAGCCGCCGCAGCCGCCGCAGCCGCCGCAGCCGCCGCAGCCGCCGCCGCCGCCGCCGCCGCCGCCGCCGCCGCTGCCGCTGCTGCTGCCGCCGCCGCCGCCGCCGCTGCTGCTGCTGCCGCCGCCGCCGCCGCCGCCGCCGCTGCTGCTGCTGCTGCTGCTGCCGCCGCTGCTGCCGCTGCTGTTCGCGCCCCCACTACCAATTTCAACCAATTCCACTATTTCTTTCCAACCGTTTACCGCACCTGCCTACCCTCCACCTCCCGTCTCTCTTTCTGCTCTTCCTGCCAGCCCTCCCTCCTTCCCTCCTTCCCAAGCGGAAATGGGGATTACTTTTGAGAATCTTTTGAAAAGTCTCCCTACTTCCGATTTTACCCTCAAACCCACTCCCCCAAATCCTCCTCAAAATTCCCCTTGCTGCAACCTCTTCCCTCGTTGCGCTCCCCAGTCCATCTCCACTCCGCCCTCCGATCTCTTTCCCCTTCCCCTTATCCCCATCCCTTCCCCCTCCATTTTCCCCCATTCCCTGTCCCGCTTCCCCAACCCCTTCGCCCCCAGCGATTCCCAGTACGTGCAGGTGAGGGAGGCATACGGGCTGCATCTGCTGTGTCAGAGTCACTTTTGAGAATTCTCCTAAGGTTCCCCGTGCCCCTTCCCCCACTTTCCCTGTGTCTCAGCGATTCCCAGTACGTGCAGGTGAGGGAGGCATACGGGCTGCATCTGCTGGCGCAGGCGGAGGCAACTTGTGAGTCGACTCAAGAGTCCCCTCCTCCTTCCCCCGTCCCCTATTCCCCGCCCCGCCGCCCCCTGTGTCCCAGCGACCCCCAGTACGTGCAGGTGAGGGAGGCGTACGGGCTGCATCTGCTGGCGCAGGCGGAGGCCAAGGTGGCGCGCTTCTTTGCCGCCGACCCCTTCCGCCACAAGTCGCACGGCCCGCTGCTCGACCACAGGTGTGTGCGGGAACCCTTTCAAACGTCTTGAGACGTCTCAAAAACGGGCCGCTGCTCGACCACAGGTGCGTGCGCTTTCAAACATCCCAAATGTCAAAGCTTTTTTGAGATGTCACAGCTGGGAACTCTTCTTTTGTCACAGCTCCCCTCCAGACATCTCAAATTTGATACGCCCCATACCATCCCATCCCATCACGTCTCACTCCCTTCTCCCCCCCCCCCGCCTCCCATTCCATCAGCGTGTGCGGGGTGCTATCACACCCATGCGCACTGCTCTCCTCATGACGCGTCTCAACAGCCTTCGTGCCTTCCCCATCCCCTCCCTTCCTCCCACCCCGCGCCCTCCCATCCCACCAGTGTGTGCGGGGTGCTATGTGCCGTCCACTCGGCGCGCTCGGACTGTCTATGGGACGGCTTCTGTGCATGGTGCACCAGCACAGAGATCTGCGTGGATAGAGCCTCACCCATGGCTGCTGCCTGCTCCTCCCTCTCTTCGCCCCTCCCATCCCACCAGTGTGTGCGGGGTGCTATCAGACCCATGTGTCGTGCACGCCTTGCAATCCGACTGCCTGTGGGACGGCTTCTGTGCGTGGTGCGGCAGCACAGACGTGTGCGTGGATAGAGCCTCGCCCATGGCCGCTGCCTGCTCGACCCACCTGCACCACCGCGACCTCACTCCATATCAAGACCGCATCCTCAGGTGCTCTGCTGCGCTGCTGCTGCTGCCGCTGCTGCTCACCACTCTGCTGCTGATGCTGTTTTGCTGCAAATGCTGCTGTTCTCCCCTATCTCTTCTCCCCCCTCCCCTCTCCCCTCTCCTCTCTCTCCTCTCCCCTCTCTCTTTCTCTCTCCCTCTCACCCCCAAACCCTTTCACTATTCCTCCTGTGTTTTCTCCTCCTCCTTATCCCCATGCCATGAGCAGGGATGCAGCCAAGTATGTGCGGGTGGCGGCAGGAGGGGAGATGGAGCACCATTCCCCCGCCAAGCAGAAACCACCACCTGCCAATGCTGCTGCGGCTGCGGCGGCGGCCGCTGCGTTGGCTGCTGCTGCTGCTACTGAAGTGGAGAGCAGCAGCAACACGAGCAGCAATGGGAGCGCTGACACCCCTTGCAAGATCATCATCCCCGGTCACTTCCAGGTCACTGCTGCTTCTGCCGCCCATCCGCATATGTCAAGTGTGCTCCATGCGCCCATGAGAGACGTACATCAAAATATGTGTACATATATCACTGGCTGCTTGAAAGAACTTTTGAGGCGCCTCAAAAGTCAAAACTTTGAGACGTCTCAAAACTATATGTGTACATATATCACTGGCTGCTTGAAAGTTCCATGCCGCTTGCGAGGCCGTTGAGAGCCGCTGTACAGCTACGTTTGAGGCGCCTCAAACTCGATAGTCTTTTCCTCTTCCTCCCCCTCCCCTTCCCCCTCCCTTTTCCCCCCTTGTGCCTGCAGTTCCTGACTCTGGACTACGATGAGATGTACTGGCACTGGCTGCTCGAAAACTTCGTGCCATTGTTGGCTGATATGCCCTATGCACGCCTCAGGTACGCTTGCTGATGTTGCTGCTGGTGATGGTGGTGGTGCCTGCCATCTGTGGCCTGCCTTATGTTAGTATAGCAGCACTTCAGCAGAGCACGATGTTCGCATGCCATCGTCCCCCCAGCCTCTCTGCATTCCCTGCCATGCCATCCACCTCTTCCACAGCCCTCCCTCTCTCAATCTATTTCCCTTCAGTCTCTCCTCCCCTCGCTTCTCCCCCTTTCCCATTTCCCCTGTCTCCCTCTTTCTCACTCCACCTCTTTATGCCACCCTCGTCCCCCTCCCCATGCCACTGACTCTCTGTCCCTCTCCCTCCCTTCCTCATGGCCCATATTTCCCCTCCAACCCCCACCCCTCCAACCCCCACCCCTCCAACCCCCACCCCGCCAACCGCCACCCCGCCACCACGGCGCTGGGAGCAGGGACATGCGCACGCACTTCATCCTCACACGCAGCACCTCCACCCGTCACCTACCCTTCCTCGGCCTTCTCTCTCAGGCAAGCCCACTCTCTCTCTCAGGCAAGCCCACTCTCTCTCTCAGGCAAGCCCACTCTCTCTCTCAGGCAAGCCCACTCTCTCTCTCAGGCAAGCCCACTCTCTCTCTCAGGCAAGCCCACTCTCTCTCCCAGGCACACGCTCTGATTGCCCTGCTGTTCCACTCCCAACAGGCAAGCTCTCTCCTCTCCCCCTCTCTCCCTCTCCCGTTCTCCCTGTCTCCCCCTCTCCACCTTTCCCCTCTCCGCCTCTCTCCCTCTCCCTTTCTCCACCTCTCCCCCTCTCCACCTCTCCCCCTCTCCACCTTTCCCCCTCTCTCCCACCCCTGCAGTCGTGCTGGCGGTCGCTAGAGGACATGCAGGAGGGCACGTGTCTGGTGGAGGAGACCAAGGAGGAGCAGCTGCGATTCAACATGGACCACCCCTCCGCCATGGCCTCTGCTGCTGCCCGCCTCATCGACCGCACTGCACCGCACTTCGTCGTTGACCGCCTCAACCTCTCGCACATCCCGGCTCCGTCCAAGCCACAGGCACGTGGGGTGGTGGGAGGTGGGATGGCATGGGGGATTCGTGCTCCCACCGGCACAGGCACAGGCACAGGCCATGGGCATGGGCATGGGCATGGGCATGGGCATGGGCATGGGCATGGGCACGGGCACATGCATAGGCACAAGGGCTTGCCCAGTTGTACCTGCATTGCTGTACCGGTTCCCTCTGCCCTTCTATCTTCCCCTTTCCTCCTCCTCCTCCTCGTCCCCACCTCTCTTCTCCTCAACTCCCCTCACCTCCTCTTTCTCTGCTTACCCCTCACGCTGATATCTCCCTGTCTGCCCTTCTATATCCCCCACCTTCCTTCCAGCACTCTCCCCCCACACCCCACTCCACCACCTTGACCACACTAGGACTCCTTGGTAGCAGCCACACTCCTTCCCTTCTCCCATTCTTGTCCAGTTACCCACTTCCGCTCCCTCCCTTCCCCACCGTTCCGATTCTCCTGCTGGCCCATGGGCGTCGCCGCCAACTCCCCAATGCAGCCACACAGAAGTCTGTCTGCCTGCGCCTGCCCTCACCCCGCGCCTTCCCCCGCTCCCCTATCCTCTTCCCTCCCCTCGTGGTGGCGCATCGTTTTTCAGCGCTGCAAAAATAGTCCTCCCGCCTCCCCCTTCTCCTCCATCAGTCAGGTTGTCCTGGTGGCGTGGCGGCGGCGCCGTCTCCTCCTGAACAAGGACGCGCTAGTAACCACCTTCTCTGCCCACTTCTTCCGCCACCCCACGCCCTCCCCCTCATCCCACACCCTCCCCCTCTCCCCTCTTCCGGCTCCCCCTTCCACTGTTTCAGGTTCTCCTGGTGGCGCGGCGGCGGCGCCGCCTGCTCCTAAATGAGGACTCATTAGTAGCCGCCACGCGCGCTATGGGCCTGCCCATCTCCATCGCCGTACTCGAAGATCTCCCGCTCTACGAGCAGATCCGGGCCGTCCGTTCCTGCGCCATCCTGGTGGGCGTGCACGGGTCTGGGCTGCTCAACTCCATGTTCCTGCACCCCGGCAGCGTTCTCGTGCAAATCGTGCCCTACAACACCACCGGTGCAGACCGTTTCTACGAGCCGCAGGTTCGGCAGGCCGGAGGCTCGTACATGGAGGTCCGGGTGATGAACCGGAGCGACAGCGTGTTTCACTGGCACTTGGCGGAGGACCACGGGAGCAAGGTGGGGACGGCGGAGGAGAGAGAGCAATTCCTGCAGCAAGGGCCAGACGTGCAGCGAGCCTCAGATGTGTTTTTTAGCTTCTGGGTGAACCAGGATGTGCATGTGCCTGTTGGGGAGTATAGGAGAGTTATTGGTGAGGCTGTGGCTGCTTGGGAGCAGGGCCGGCAGCAGCAAAAGAAGAGGCCACGGAGCGAGGAGCAGCAGAGGGCAGGCTGGGCAGAGGAGGGGGAGGAGGGGGATGCAGGGGTTGCAGGCGGGGAAGGGCGTGGTGTAAGGGATGGCAGGGGCGACAGTAGAGAACAAGGATAGTTCTAGTTTGTGTAGGGAAGGGCCATGGAGCAAGGCTTGGTATGGTACAGTAGGTTGGTCATGTCAGGTCCTGTCAGTGCATGGGTCAAGGTGCAGTCGTCACATCACATCCCACCTGCCTTCCTTCGAAACCACGTTAAATGAATTAAATGTTTTTTCTAAGGTATGTACCGTATTCCCCCGGACAAAAGACCCCCCATAATAATGTACCCGGGGTATTTTATTACGGGTTGTTTTCGTTATACCCCCTATTTAGGGGTGAAATCATTATGAGACCCCCCCCCCCCCAAACCTCAAAAGTGTTTTTAACATGAGAATATCAGTCCCTGTTTCTGTTTCTGTTCCGAGGCGGTCTGACATAATGTAGTGGACGCAGTACACGTCCGTCGCCCCGTGATCTAGCGTGCTGGTTACCACTCAATGTGGGCCAATGTGCATGAAGCATTTAAATGCTTCATGGATTGTGCCCGCTTCCTCGGCCCAGGACATTCGCGTGGTGTTTCCCCATTCTAAAAATGCAGCACAACACTACAACACCCATGCATTTCATTACATTCAGAAAAACATAGCACTTATAGTAAGACCCGGGTCTCATAGTTTTTATACAATTTAATAAGACCCCCAACATTTTTTTATGAAATCAATAACAGGCCCTAGGGTCTTTTATCCGGGGGAATACGGTGCCGTGGCATGCCATTGCGGTGCTATCAGCAATACATATCAATTCATTTTCTCGCATTGGACACCTTCGCAATATAAATTCCATGGACATGGACACCTGAAGCCACCAGTTTCTGTTGGGCTGAGAAGCCCCTTAGGATCTTTGCAGGACAGAATTCAAGAGTAGGATGATGTAGTAGCGGAAGCGTTTAATAAAGACTTGTTGAACCACCTTGTACTGGTTTGTGAGAACAAAGTAAGTTGATTAAACAAAAGAGATACAAGCTTTTATAAGAATACAAAGGAATATGAAGAGATACAGTTAATAACTGCTTTACTGTTGCTGTTGCGGTTCGATACAGTGTCGACTCGGGCAACTGCTCAGTATCGAGACAGTTGTTTGTCCTTGCTGTCGCGCTGCATTTGTCAGGTCAAAGGTCGCTGACCTTTGACTTTCGCGTAACCTCCAGCAGTTGTTCAACCTCCGAGGGTTGACTCACCGATGTTTCGATACGATCCGCTTCGCTTCTGTCTTGGTGTTTCGACACGACAGAGGCGCCTAAATCAGTTGTTTCCAACACTCCCCTTCGCTTCTGGAGTGTCGCTGCAGGTGACGTGGCTCTGTCCAGTCAGCAGCATGCAATATTCGAACTTCGATTTTCCGAGCTTCTTGGTCAAGTAATCAGCTGCCATCTCGGATGTGGGGCAGTAAGACAACTCAAGTCTCCCCTTCTCGATCTCGTCCTTCACGAAGAAATATCGCAGGGTGATATGTTTCGTCCTGTTCGCGAATCCATTTTTGTTGGCGATGCGAATTGCCGACTGGTTGTCGCAAAATAGGGAGAAGCTGGGTAACTGGGCCAGCTTCGCTTCCTCCAGAAGTTCGCGAAGGTACAGTCCTTCCTTGGTGGCTGAGCAGAGTGCGATATATTCAGCTTCAGCTGAGGAGAGGTCGATTAATTCCTGTTTGCTCGACTGCCACGAAATAGGTCCGATAGGCTCGAGACGGTAGATATAGCCTGTGCGCGAGCGCTTGTTGTCAGGATCTCCGGCGTGGTCGGCGTCGACGTAGCCGATTAGCTTGGGCGTTGTAGTTATGTTCTTATAGTAGATCAGGCCGATCGTCGGAGTGCTTACGAGGTAGTGTAGAGCGCGATCGAGCTCCTTCATGTGTTCGTCTTCAGGCCTTTTGAGGTAGGTGGCGAGTTGACTTGCTGAGTATGATAGGTCTGGACGGCAGGTGACGGCCGCGAAGAGAAGGCATCCCAGCTTTCTCTGGTAGTTGCGTATGCCGGCGGGTTTCAGTGGAGCGGATTCTGCCTTGTTATTTCCTGCCGTGTAGCGGTATGGCGTAGAGATGGTAGTTGGCGTGAGTGCGAACCGTTTGGCGATGGTGTCGGCATATTTTGCGACGTTGAGATAGATCGCGCCTTCTTCTTCTTGGATGTTGAGGCCGAGGTACTGCGTGACGGTAGATGAAACCGTGAGTGTAAGATCTCTCTGTAACTCCCCTTCGAACCAGGTAGTGACATTGTCGGTTGATCCGATGTAAAGCAGATCGTCTACGTAGACGATTAGTAGAATGTAGTTGTCGCCTTTCGTGAGCCAGTACATTCCTTGGTCGTGCGGTAGCTGCCGGAATCCGATGCGAGTGAGTCGGGCGTGTAAGTACTGCTGCCACAGTCTCGGGGCCTGTTTGATTCCGTACAAGGACTTCAGTAGCTGGCAGACTTGGTTAGGTTCTCCATGGGAACCGTGTGGAAGTTCGACAAAGATTTCTGCGTCGACAGGTGCGTAGAGAAAAGCATTGGCAACGTCGATTTGCCGCAGCTTCTTTTTCTTCATAGCGGCGATCGCGAGAAGAATCCGTAGTGAGGTGTGTCGACTAACCGGTGCGAATGTCTCGGTGAAATCGCGTCCATGCTCTTGGTCGAAGCCGCGTACGACCCAGCGTGCCTTGAACTTGTCGATGGTGCCATCTGCTTTCGTCTTCACATGGAAGACCCACTTCCCGGTGAGTATTGTCTTGTTTCGTGCTACGCCGATAGGAACAACTTTCCAGGTGTTGCGCTCCTGTAGTGCTTTCAGTTCCTTGTCCATGGCTTCACGCCATTTTTCCTTATGCTCCCCCCCCAGAGCCTGCTGAACTGTGGCAGGCTCCTTAGGAGTATCCGTGCCATGGACCGCGGTGATGAGACCAAGTATCTGAAGGCCACTCTGTGTGTAGCGGGGGAGTGTTGTGTCCGCGGGATAAGCTGCTTCGACGCCTGTTTCTGGGTCAGGTATGAAGTTGGGCCCTATGCGTTCTGCTTCGTTGGTGTTGACTTCTGCAGGTGTAACGTAACCAGTGTCGGCGAGGTCGAAATAAGTTTCGGCGTTGACGCTTTCGCGAGGATTTTCGTCATCCATCGGGATAGGCACGGAGCAGTAAGGGAGTGGTCCTGCTTCTTCCGAGGCGTTATCCACGTTCTGCTCGTCCCAGTCAGCTTCGTCTGCTGCCGAGGCGAAGTGTCGGTCACCATGGAAGCCACCTGTGGGATCCCGATTTTCTTCCAGGTTGGCAAGGTATGTCGGAAGGGTGAGTCGTTCGTAGAAAATGACGTCACGTGCTGCTACTGTTTCTTTGGAGTGGACGTCGAAAATCTTCCACGCGTTGTAATCTCTTTCGATGCCCAGGTGTAGTCCCCACTGTGCTCGTTGGGAAAATCGGCCGGCTCGTGCAGATGGGGGTCGGTACTGTACCATGCAGCCAAAAACTCTTAACATTTTTGTGCTGCCCTGCTTTCCTGTCCACAGCAGGTGCGGTGATGCGTTGTTCGGTAGTGACGACGACGAAAGCAAGTTGTGCAGCATGACAGCGTGGTCCATCGCTTCAGGCCACTGGTGATTGGACAGTCGCATGCCACGCAGTAATTTGCGCATGGTGTTCTGGAGAGTTCGATTCATCCGTTCCGCCACGCCTTGCTGTTGATGGGCGTAAGGAAGCGAGATGAGCCTCTTGATTCCCTTTTCTGCCAAGAACTGCTTGAACCTCTGTGAGGTGTATTCTTCTCCTCCGTCTGACTGAAAGCTTTTCAGTTTCTCGCCTGATTCTCGTTCTGTTACTGGGAGCCAAGCGATGAAGGCTTCGAATGCCATGTCCTTGCTCGGAAGATTGAGGTGCCAAACGTAACGTGTAGCTGCATCGATGAACGTGATGGTATAATTGTATGCGCCTTGTCCGGGTTCGCGATTGTACAGGATGTCGCTGTACACCTTTTCAAGTGGTGCGTAAGCTGGTGCGCTGGGGTTGTGGTGAGAAGTGAAAGGTCGATGCGGTAAGTCAGCTTCGGGGCAGGTAAAACACGTTCCTCGCGCTCGTCGAAGTTCACTTCCGTCGGTTAGAAGCAGTGAATCTTTGTCGAGAACTCCGGCTCTGATTGTGTTGTTTAACACCGTATTACTTGGATGTCCCATTCGTGTGTGCCAGATGTCTTCGCTAGCGCGATGTCCGGGTGAACGACGATACAGGTCGGAGTTGGAGTAAAAGGCGGCGGTGAAGTTGGCGCTTCTGTGAACTTCGCGAGGGGTGGGAGTTAGCTGCTGCGCAGGAGTCAGTGAAGTATTGTCGGTGTGTGGCGATGTCGTTGAAGAACTCGCGACTGGTGTTGTAAGTGTTGTTGGTGTTGCCGATGTTTCTGCTGCTGCCGATGTTGTTTCTGCTGCTGCCGAGTGTTGAATCGTTGCTAATGCTCTTGTTCGTTCTGCTTCAGGGATGGTGTGTGAGTACCTGAAACCTTCTGGACTGAAGTCGGGGTCAAGATCTGGTGGATGTGTCCAAGAGGTGAAGGTGACGATCCCGTCGCTGTCAGCAGTGCCGAGATCTGGGACGAAGTCGAGGACGAAGACATTATTCTTCAGTACTGCCTTGCCGATGTAGAGTCTGTCAGAAACAAGAAGTGATTGAACTATGAAACATTGGAGTACAAGTATGAAACCCTAGAGTTGTGTACCCCCTAAAGGCTAACCCACTATAGCCTACACAGCAATAACACATAGATAATGTTTGACACACCCCCATAGGCAAAGTGGGAAGAGCAAGGGGTCACAAGACCAGTCAAGAAAGGCAAAGCAAGCTCAGGGTGAATCACAACGTCACCACACAATCTGAGCACAAGCAAAGGGCCACAGGGCCAGTTCAAATGCAGAGGCATATATGAAACACAAACAGCAAGGTGATCTCAACCTAACAAAACAAACAAGCAGGTATATATATATAGAGATCACAGTAGAGACAAAGCCTACATTATGTGAGGAAAAGTGGGCACAAGCCCCAGTATAGTGCAGAAGCGCTGATGATC